AATTTATTATCTTGTATGCATTCTTTCTTTCTTTTTTTGTACACGATAAATACAATTTTATTTGTCAATTAAAAGACAACTTAAAAAAATATTGCATACTGTTTCTTTGTCCAGGAGATACACAGTGCACATTAGCATATTAAAGACTCTGAGAAACCCTGTAGTAAAGATGTCCAATGAACTTGGTTTAACCATTTCCCACACATCCTTTGACCACAGAATCTATTTTGACCATAATATTATCTGGAATTAGTAATCCAGTATTTTGGAAAATATTGCTATAATTGAAATCCCCCAACTCTCCCTTAAATCCAAATTTTCTAAGCAATGTGAATTTCTAGAACTACACTTGCTCTGAGCCAAAAGACCAAGATATTATATTTTCATTTAAATTTTTTATTAATGTTTGAACTATTTTAATTTGATTTTCTTTTTTTTACCTTTTATTTTTTTTTAACTTTTTACTGTGAAAAATTTAATACATATACAATAAATCTGGCTACAGCCAATCAACAACTCATGGCCATCTTATCTTATTTGTAACCTCCACCCACTTTCTGCCTTCCCCTGGATTATTTTGAGTAAATCCCAGTATCGTTAGCATTCATCTTTATGTATTTCAGTATGAGTCTCTAAATGATAAGAAGTCTTTTATAAAAGATAACTACAGTATATAATCACATTTTAAAAATCAATAATAATTCCTTAATATAATCAAACATCAAACATGTTTAAATTGCTCCAATTCACTCCCCCTTGCTCTTTCTTCCTTACTATTGATTTGTTTACATCAGAATCCAAATAACTTCTGCTTGTTGCGTTGGTTGCTATGTCAGCTGTTTTAAGTTTTTTTTTAAATGATAGGTTCCCCCTTCATTTAATTTTTTCCTTTTACCCCATAAAGTTTTCCAAGGTCTGTATTTGCTGGCTCCATCCCAGTAGTGTCATTTAACATGTTCCACCATTCCCTGCATTTCTTCATGATTGGTTGCTGGATCCTGAGGCTTGGTCTCACTCAGGTTAGATTTGGCTTCAGAGGTATATGTTCTTACTGCAGGAGGCCTGTTATGTCTGATCATCTCTCTGTGGCGTTAGCAGTCATAGCTGAGCATTTGCTAGATCCATAATTTCAGTAGGGTTTTGCAAAATACCACATGCTACTTGTTTTATTCCCTCTTTATTTACTAGCTGGGATACTTCAGTAGACAGAAATGTTCCCTACTCAGCTACTTACGGTTACCCTGAGGAACAAGTCATATAGGAAAGACAGGATCAGTGCTTGACTCTTCCCTTTTACTTACTAGTTTCAGAAAAATGAATTGTTTCTCTGTCATCTTCCAAAGAGACTGAGAGTTTGGTTGCTTTTGTCTCACTGTCATTATGGTTTTTTGTGGTGGTGAGGTTTAGTTTCTTTCTCTTTTGCATTTTTGTTCTACCAGTGGGTTTTGTTCTTTCTTGTGTATTCATGGAAGTGATTATCAATTTTTGTATTTCAGATACAGGACTCTCTTGAGGATTTCTTTCAGGGCTGGTCAAGTGGTGGTACATTCCCACAGTTTTTATTTGTCTGGAAAATACACTATTTCTCCTTCATTTCTGAAGGACAGCCTTGCTGGGTAAGGTATTCTTGGCAGTTTTTTTCTTTCAATATTTTGCATACATTATCCCATTTTTTTCTGGCCCTTAGAGACTCTGTTGAGAAGGCTGCAGTTAGTCAGATAGGGGCTCGCTTACAGGTGACTTGATGCTTTTCTTTGGCTTCTTTTAAGATTCTCTTTGTCTTTGAGCTTTGCTAGTTCGACTAAAGTGTGTCTTGGAGAGGATCTTTTGGGGTTGAATCTGTTTGGGGATCTTTGAGCCTCCTGGATCCAAAGGTTTGTGTTTCTCCCTGTACCTGGGAAGTTTCCCATTATTATTTTTGTTGAATAGGTTTTCCATGCCTTTTTCCTTTCTCCTCCCCTTCTGGAATACCCATGATTCAAATGTTTGTGCAGTTAAGGTTGTCTATCTCTCTTAGATTTTCTTCATGTTTTGAAATGCTTTTTTCCTTTTTTTTGGTCTGCCTGGGTTATTTCAAAAAGACTATCTTCAAGATCAGGAATTCTTTCTTTTGCTTGCTCTAACCTGCTACTTAAGCTCTCGGTTGTGTTTTTTATTTCATTGAGTGAATTTTTCAGTTCCATGAATCCTGCTATATTCTTTTTTAAGATATTAATCTCTATGTAAATTTTCTCCTTCATATCCTGAATTATTTTTTTTTCTCATTTCATTATGTTGTCTGTCTGAGTCTTCTCCTATCTCAGTTAGTTTCCTTAAGATTGTTGCTTGGAATTCCTTTTCAGTCATTTCAAGGATTTCCTGCACTATGGTGTCTGTATTTGAGAATTACTGTATTTTGGATTTTCGTATTTCTAGTATCTCTATGTTGAAGTCTGGTCATCTTGTAGAGCAGTTGCTTCTTCTATTACTCTGGAGTGGCTTTGAGGAGAGACACATACTCTTCTTTTTCCAGTCTTTGTTGGTGACTCTCCTAGTATCACTGCAGTCAAGTGTCTGGTGGGCCCACCTGCATGGTAGCTGTGGCTACTGCTGTGGCATCAAGCCACTTTTGCAGCAGTCATGGATGTGGCAATGGCTGTGGTGGGCCATCCAGTGTAAATGGTGTTTTCAGCATGCTCCTTGTATGCTTCTGGTCAGGGGTTGCTGCCCTTGGCTGCTGCTTAGGTCCCTGGGTATGCTCCTTGCCTGTTTTCAGGCGGAGGGGGCTCTACATTATTTCTTTAGGAAGCCTCTCTACCAACCCACTTCCATTCCTCTTATGTTCCCCACCCTACACACACACACCATATATACCCCAAATTCATATTATGCATTAGAGTAATTAGTGCCCTGGTGCTATATACTTTCCAATGCCTACATAGAAGTCAACTTTTTACTTTTACCAATATTTACTATTATTGGTTCACACTATCACTAGCATAAAATCCAAAATACAATGTGTATTTGTATATAATAATATATAAATGTTTGCACACATTGTGCTAAATCATCTGTTCAGTATAATGGGAGAAATGCAACATTTTAAAGATGGACAGGTAAAGTCTGTCATTTGTAGAACAACCTTAGGAATCACAAAATCTCAGCAACTATGCTAAATAGATTCTTTTGGAGAAATTCTTTCTTATTTTAGAGAATCTTAACATTTTAATTTTCACATATCACCTTGTAAAAGATGCTCACACTTCTGAGTTTGTATTTGCACATCAGAAAAACCAAAAGCTTAAATCTGAGAGAGAGAGAGAGAGAGAACACAAGTCAAAGTGAACACATTTTGTAATTTTGTTCAGTACATGGGTCTGGAAAGATCGATATTTACATGTAAGTGGAGAGCTCTGCCTTTGTAGATCTTGATTGAAAACTTCTCTATGCTTAGTGCTGATGTTAGAGCTATCTGTTTTCCTTAAGAAACTTAGCCAACCTGTTCCTATACAGATATCAGTTCACAGTCTGGGGCCTGGGGGTCCTAGGTATGTATACATCTGGAAGCCAGAGATGCACACTATGGCAGCCTGGGAGTGGTTGGGAAGTTTAGAGTGTCTGCTCACTTGAAGAGTGCTCTAGTACCATAGATGATCTGAGCAAGTCTGCATATACTCGTGAGGTCAAAATTCCGGAATGAAAGGCAGGATGACCTGGTTGAAAATGCATGAACTTTAGAATCAGATTTGGATTAAATTCTGACTTTTCTACTGCTAGGCTGTGTGACCTTTAGCTTATTGCTCTGGGCCTCAGTTTCCCCATTTGAAAAATGCAGGGCAGTTATAAGGAATAAATGGAATAATATCCAGAAGTGCCTCATACTCAGTAAGGAATTAATAAATGTTATTCTCTTTTTCTCACTTCAACACTAAAGACTACAGGAGTGGGATGAGTAACATCCTCAGTGACTTGGTTTGGCTCCCTTTCCTGGTTTACTCGATAAGACCTAGCCAACCACATTTTTCAGGCAGAGCTCTTAAAAATCATCTGTTCTTTCCCCAGTGAGTTAGAGAGCAAGTACCTAGAGAAATTCCAGGCCTGGAGAGAGGCTAAGTGAGATAGAGCTCCTGGTTCTTCTTTTGGAGTTGTATTAGCTCCACACTTCTCTGTATATTATCCAGGGATACACTGCTGATACCGTGAGAGAGCACATTATTTATTACTTTTTAAGATTCCCTAACTTGATGTGAACTTTTTCTTTAATTTGATCAGACATAAAATCCAACTGGAGATTTTAAGAGAGTGATGTGTAATCAATACTTTTATTCACAAGTGATTTTTCTTTAGCTAGAAGCATTTACAGTTATGCTGCTTTGAAATTTTTATCAGCTTAAACAAGAACGTGACATTCAAAATGAATTAGATGGCCAGATGTCATATAATCTATTGACTGAGGAGTTATAATGCACTTTAATGATGCAAAAACTGTCATATCCTTTTTAAATGCCCCTAGACTTGATTATACAGGGTAAAAGATACATGTTTATATAAAAATTAACTTAAAATATTATTGAAATGAGAAATTAAAAGACTTGAGTGAGTTCTAAAACTAAAATGTCCTTTTCCCCTTGACTCTGCATCATGTTTGAATCTGTAGCTCTTACTGATAGTCTGTGCTGGGAGATGCCCTTTATGTAACCCATTCATCATCATAATGTGAAGTGTACCATTCCTTTTGCCTTTTCTTCCTCATGTTAAATTCTGGAGCACGTTAAAACCACTGGGTCATTTTTGAGTTAAATATAATAGATTATAATACCAGGATTTAAAATAAATAGCATAGAGTAAAAATATTAAGAAGCAATATGATTTTTTTTAAAGCCACAAAGTGAAATTTGTCAGTAGTTACATTATTATACTCAGAAATATTTTGTAAAGAACTTCAGAACTAGTTTGTTTGGTAGTGAAAATATTCATTTCAGATAATGATTTTGTAATGGTTTTTCTTTTTTTAATTTTAGGGTCAGCCTGGTCCCCAGGTAAGTGAACTCTTTTAAGGGGAAATTAGTTCCAATTTAGGATTTTCCCAGTATAGAGGTTTTCTGCAATTCTTTTTAAAGTATGTAAAAAAGCTATGAGCTGGTAAGCATGATCCCACACAGAAGACCAAATATTTCCCAGGAGTAAACCCTCAGAGACTCATCAGGATTGTGTGAGCCATATCAGCTGTTGGGCCAGATGGCAAATTTAACAATGTACTATCATATAAAGCAAAAGTCTTAACTGATCTGAAACAATGCCATAGGACTTTAATGTAAGGCAGAATGATTTAGTAAATGTCTTGTATGAACTGGTTAGCATTAGGTACTGCTTAATCATGTATTAATAATGTTGTTGTAAATCCATGCATACTCTGATTATTTAGACTGTGATCCTACTAGCTGCTTTTGATTCATTATAGACAGCTATTGAATTTGTTCTACATTTTCAATAAAACCAATTGCTAGAGACATGATTTATAATTAACTGTGAATGCAGTCAACAGAAAATCTTTTGAGCCCTAAAATCATACTGAAGAAAATGAGCGAATTTTAGGGAGGGGAGGAATGTGTATAAAGATGGAATACAAAAGAAGTGCGTTGTTAGAAATGAAGAGTCAGTATGACAAACTCAAACTCAACAGAAAACAAAATCAACATCAATACTCATTACAGTCTGTAGGATGCTATGAAGAAAGAAATGCAGTTATTAATGTTTTACCTTTAACACTGTAATACCTGTAAGTAATACAATTATTTATTGAGCTCTCCTTCTATCTCTTTCCTCCTGATGTATTGAATGCTATTTCTGCCCTGGATTGTTTCATACGTAAGCCATTTTTTATGATAGGTTTGTAGTCAATACCATGAATTATGTATTGTGTGCTAATCCTCACAGTATACCACAAGAATATTATTTATAGTTTTTATGAGCTCTGCAAGTGAGGATGTCTAATAAAACAAACAAAAAAATCCCACATACTTCAGTAGAGCAGTCCTTTTCACATTAACTCATGACAAAATGTTTGACCTTTAATTGATATTGATATCTGAGAATACTTCTATTATTTGTGATTTTTGCTCTAATATTCCAAGTTGGTTCAAGGTAATTATTGGAGGGGGGAAAAACCCACAGAAGAATGTTGTAGCTTGTTCCCTAAATTTGAAATGGCTACAGTACAATGGACCAAAGACAAAGTAAGAGGTTTTTTGCATGCTTTATTTTATTTAATGCTTATGACAGCCCTGAAAAGTATTAATATTCTAATTGTATGTATGTATGTGAGTGTGTCGCACACATACATACACACACAGAATCAGAAGAGATGGATGACACCCTACATCTGGGAGCAGAAGTCAAGTCTGTCTGTAAAACCCTCATATCCCTGTAGCACTTGGCCCTCAAGAGAAGAGAAGGAGGTGAAGTAGCAAACAATAGAAGAAGTTGGAGTGTTGGTTTTGAGAGATTATAATCTTTAATATATTTTAAGTTGTAATAGGACCTCTGTCTTAGCCAGGACTATCTTTCCCGTACCACAAAGCAGTTCTTAAGATAAGGATTTGGGCATAAATAGTTTATTTGGGAGATGATCTTAGGAAGCATCATGAGAGAGTGGAAAGATGACACAGGAAAGGCAGGAAAACCAAGAAACAGATGTGCTAATGAACAGGTTACTGCTGTGGACAGGTGGGGCTCAATCTTGCTGAGGGTCTATGAGAGACTGTGAGAACATGCCTCAGAATCATCCTACTGTGGGCAAGGAATTGGTGTATTTCCTTCCTTGTTGGGTGTTAAATCCCTGGCACTTCTGGCCTATCCAGAAGACCTCGCATGCTCCAGCTGCTGGAGGAATGTGTGTCTTGGAGTGGGATATTGGTGTGGGTGGCACCTACATCTGATACAACATCCAAGTGCAAGTATCCTATAGATAAAACAAAGAGTGGAAAATTCAGATATGAGTGTAACGACTTAGAACATTGGCATGAAGACAACGTTAAAAGCATATTAGTTAATGAGATGCTAAAGATAGTAACTGTGAAAAGAAAAGCACAGACATAATCTCGAGTATACAGTCACAGCTAATGAACAGAAGAAAGATGATAAACCAGCACAGGAAGCCAAGAATGGACAGAACCAGGAACACTATGGATCACTATAGCTAGGATTTGAAAGTATTATGACACTCCAGAATGCCTTCACATCAGGTCTTATATTTACTGTGGCTCTCCAGAAACATAAAGTCTACCCAAATGCCTATACCTGAAAATTTTGGAAATTTGCGAGGAGGATGGAACTGGCATTTTCAAAGGGGTTACATGCTCTGGTTTCTCCTTATTGTGGCCACCATATTGTGTTTTCCTTATTGTGCCTTTACTGGACGTGAGATCACATGATTATTTAGTTCAAAATGTCTTCCTCACATCACAGCAAAAAGAAAGCAATGAATTTAGGAAAGTATTAGGGGAAATGTGAAGCCAAGACATACCCTCATGTCTTTTCGTAGCACAAAAAATAGAGTTTTCTTGCTATGTCCCCAAGGAAAAATCTGACCTACCTCTTATGTATCATCATTATCATAATATTTTTCCAGAGAAACTTCCATTTTTAGATTTTAAATGAAATAGTTTTTAATGATGTTTTTCATTTAGTACTTGATGATCATTAGCTTGCTTTGAGGATTTTATAAATTACAGACGAATTTAATATATATGCCCCTATCCAGCTACATATTTCATATTCTCTATTACCTATTGTAATGTGTTATTTTCAACCCCCTAGTCTGCTCTTGGGAAATTTCTTTTGCAAAAAAGTGGTCCTTAACTCCAAAAAATTAATTTTTTCTATCAAAAGTAAGAACACTTAGAAATGACCCATATAGTAGATGCGATTATCAGTATGTACAGCAGAGTTACTGTATTTTATACATTTATATCTTATACTAACACCTGACTATGAGTCTGTTTTGTCCTTGAATAAATTTATATAAACTGTACATTTAATCCATTTAACATAGATATAAGGTACATACAGTGAAAAAGCAAGCAATGTACATTTAAAACCCAATTAGAAAATTCTTATAGGTTTTTTAATAATCGAAAGGTTTTTTAAAAAAAATTTGATCAAATTTCTCTTAAAATTTTCACATTCTGTATTTAGCTCACTAAAAGTGATCTTATTCACATACAATGTATTTATAAGAACTTGAAATTTTGGTTATGTCTTCCTTTATTTTTTTCTTGTTTTCCCCTTTTTGTTGTTGACTTAAAATGATATCCACCTTGCCCTTAAATGTCAACTTTTAAAATTTCCCTGATTTGATAAGATTTCTTAGCTAAAACATCGTAACTTATTTTTTATTATTTATGTATGATTCAGTATAACTGATTTACCTACATTTCTTCCCTACTGAGCCTCTTTCTCCCCAGCCCTCAGTCTCCTCAGCACATTTTGTTAGCTGTGAGGTAAGGGAAGGGCTGAATGTTGCAAAACTTTTTTTTCCCTTCTCTTCCCATCTCCTTTTGCAACTAGTTAAGGGAGAGAAAGGGAGAGTTTGCCATCTACATAAGCTTTCTCCAAACAAGTTCTCCCTTAACCAGCCTTTACCCCAGATTTCCTACCCCCTCCTAAGTCACAGCCATGTCACCCAGAGCCTGTTCTTACCTAGCCTCCCTCCATGGAAAATCTATACTCCCTCTGACTGGATAGTATGGTGAGAAATACATTTCTAAAATCCCAAATTCCAACTTTTGGTGGATTTTTCATTTAGATGCAATTACCAATAATGGTTTGATTCTATTGCATAGTAATACATTTTAGGTATGCTAGGAACAATCTTTTAGGAGCTGCAGACAGGCCCCTCCATCTGGAAGCAGACAAGAGAGCACTCCCAGGGTTCTAGGCAGGAGCCAAGGGTAGCCCCCTTCACCCAAAAGCAGGCAAGAGAGCACACCTGGGGTTTTAGGCAGGAGCAGTCAAGAAGGACGCTGAAAACACCACTTCCAAGTGGGTGGTCCACCACAGCCACCGCCACAGCCATGGCTACTGCAAAAGCAGCTCAACACCACAGCAGTAGCCAAAACTGTCATGCAGGTGGCACACCAGATACTCAACTGCATTGACACAAAGGGAGTCACCAGTGAAGAATGGGAAAAAAAAAGAAGAGGACATCTCTCTCCTCACAGCCCACTCCAGAATAATAGAAGAAGCAACTGCTCTACCAGATACCAGACATCAGTGTAGAGATACTAGAAATATGAAAATCCAAGAAAACATGACACCACCAAAAGAATACAGTAATTCTCAAGTACCAGACCCTATAGAGCAGGAAACCTTTGAAATGACTGACTGGGAATTCTGAGCAACAATCTTACAGAAACTAACTGAGATAGGAGAAGACTCTGTTAGACACCTTGATGAAATGAGAAAAAAAATCAAGGATATGAAGGAGGAAATTTACAAAGAGATTAATACCTTAAGAATGTAGCAGAACTCATGGAACTGAAAGATTCACTCAATGAAATAAAAACACAACTAAGAGCTGAAGCAACAGATTAGAGCAAGCAGAAGAAAGAATTTCTGATCTTGAAGATAGTCTTTTTGAAATAACCCAGGTGGACCAAAAAAAAAAGAGAAAAGAATTTCAAAAAATAAAGAAAATCTGAGAGATAGGAGACAACCTTAAGCACACAATATTTGAATCATGGGTATTCCAGAAGGGGAGGAGAAAGGAAAAAGGCATGGAAAACCTATTCAACAAAATAATAACGGGAAGGCCGACCCCCTGGCGCACTCGGGAGAGTGCAGCGCTGGGAGCGCAGCAACGCTCCTGCCGTGGGTTCAGGTCCTATATAGGAATGGCCGGTGCGCTCACTGGCTGAGCACGGTGCAGACAACACCAAGCCAAGGGTTGCGATCCCCTTACCGGTCACGAAAAAGACAAAAAAAAAAATAATAATAATAACGGGAAACTTCCCAGGTATAGGGAGAAACACAGATCTTC